AGCGCCCCTCGTGCGCTGCCAGCAAGCTCAGCCCGGGCCGCTTCAGCCCAGATCGCGCTTGGAGCTCCCAAGGAGTCTTCCTGGAGCTGCTGAGCTGCTCCACCGATGGCCTCTTGCAAGGTGGAAATCTGAACGTGAGTTTTTCCCCTGTGCTGAGCGGGGGAGTAGATACGTGAACCGAATGCAGAGATTCTGGCTTTAAAAATCACTTTGTAGTGCGACGTGCTTTGAAGGTGGGTGAGCTTCGTTTGTGCCCAAAGCTAAACGTGGGATTAAGCGTTTCTGCTCAGTAGCGTGGAAGGAACGCGCCTTTCGGTCGCATGCTGCAGTCGGTGAAATCCAGCGGGCAGTCTGCCCCGAGTTTTCATGCAATTCCTACAGATCTTTAAGGCATGCATGTAATATCTCGGGTTTTCTTGCTTGCTGCAGAGCCTGGCCTCCGTGGGTTCGAAGATGGGCTCTGGAGAGCGTTTCCTTGCTTGGTTTAAACTTCAGAGTTCAGCAATCCGGCTTAGGCTGGCAATCACAGAATCCCAGCATGTCAGGGATTGGAAGGGACCTCAAAGGATCATCAAGTCCAATCCTCCTGCCAGAGCAGGACCACCTAGATCAGATCACACAAGAACGCGTCCAGGCGGGTTTGGAACATCTCCAGAGAAGGAGACTCCACAACCTCTCTGGGCAGCCTGTTCCAGTGTTCTGTTCCCCTTACTGGGAAGAAGTTCTTCCTCATGTTTAAGTGGAACCTCCTGTGTTCCAGCTTAGATCCATTTCCCCTTGTCCTATCATTGGGTGCCAGGGAGAAGAGCCTGGCTCCATCCTCATGACAGTCACCCTTTCCATATTTATAAACATTAATGAGGTCCCCCCTCAGTCTCCTCTTCTCCAAACTAAAGAGACCCAGCTCCCTCAGCCTTTCCTCAGAAGGGAGATGCTCCACACCCTTAATCATCTTTGTGGCCCTGCGCTGGACTCTCTCCAGCAGTTCCTTGTCCAATAAGTAAGAGAGAGCTGAATTTAAAAGCTGTGACTTCACAGAAGCGTAGAAACCAGTGGGTTAATGTATGGCATGTCTTTGAGCCAGCAGGATTTGTGGGGCAGTTATGCCATTGCTTCTTCTTGGAAGTAAAGTCTGGATTTAGCTCGTGGCAGTTGGCAGCACCGTCGCTGATGCCGCAGGACCGGACAGTGCAGGTCTTTATAAACATTTTCAACATGCAGGAGCTTGGTAAAGTGGTGGGCACGTTATTGTGAGCTCGGGCCCAAAATTAAATATTCTCAGCCTACCAAGTGTTTTCCAAAGACTTTTAATGGTAAAGCCCATTTGATTTATCCGTGGTTTGTTTTCTGGGTTTTTTTTTTTGCTTTTTTATTTTTTAGGGTGAGCAGTTTGAGAGACAGTCTAGTAGAGAAAGAGCTTGGGTTGCACAACTTGGTAACGCAGTCCCATCAAAACCAGAAGGTTAGTTTCATAGAATCATGGAATGGTTGGGTTGGAAGGGACCTCAGAGACCGTCTAGTTCCAACCCCCCTGCCATGGCCAGGGATATCTTCCACCACACCAGGTTGCTCAAAGCCCCATCCAACCTGGCTTTGAACACTGCCAGGGATGGGGCAGCCACAGCTTCTCTGGGAAACCTGGTCCAGTGCCTCACCACCCTCAGAGGGAAGAATTTCTTCCTTATATCTAATTGAAATCTCCCCTGTTTCAGTTTAAAGCCATTGCCCCTTGTCCTATCACTACCCGCCCTTGTCCAAAGCCCCTCTCCAGCTTTCTTGTAGCCCCTTTAGGCACTGGAAGGTGCTGGAAGGTCTCCCCGGAGCCTTCTCTTCTCCAGGCTGAACAGCCCCAACTCTCTCAGCCTGTCTCCACAGCAGAGGTGCTCCAGCCCTCGCATCATCTCTGTGGCCTCCTCTGGACCCGCTCCAACAGCTCCATGTCCTTCTGGTGTTGGGGACCCCAGAGCTGAACGCAGCACTGCAGGGGGGTCTCACGAGAGCAGAGCAGCGTGGGCAGAATCCCCTCCCTCGCCCTGCTGCCCACGCTGCTTTGGGTGCAGCCCAGGACACGGGTGGCTTTCTGGGCTGCCAGCGCACGGTGCCGGCTCATGGTGAGCTTCTCATCTTTTACCTGAGTGGAGGCCAGGGAGAGGTCGAATAGATTTTCCCAGAGCGTGGGAAAGAGGAGCTAGGTCAGTGCTGAAAGGCCATTTTAAGGGAGTAAAGACAAGAATCCAGGAGCTCTGCATAGTCTGCTTTCAGGACAGGGTGGTGGACTGCAGGATTAGCCACGCGGTGCAAGAACGTGCAGCTTGTGATCTCAGCAGGGTGCAGCAGAATTTCCCGGTGATCGCTCTGTGGTGAGTGTGTCTCTTCTGTTCTGTGACTTGAGGCAAAAGGTGTTTGTCTCCGACTTCAGGCAGCACAAATAACATGCAGAGGGATCCTGGCTTTCCTCTGCAACTGGGAGAAAGCTATGTTTGGAGCCAGTTTTCCTAGAAAAAACGCTACTATCTAGCTTCTCATCACTAACAGCTGTGTCAAGTCAAAGAGGGGTTTACTTGTGCATCACCATTTTCATAAAAGCAGGGTTCTGTGAAGCACGTGCGCTTTCTCAAGTGATTGTGAAAAGCACGTTGCCCTGTTTTGGATTGCAACTTTGGTTTTGTCGAAATGACCTTGGAAACACGTGTAGCGCTGCTCAAAAACACAGCAGAGTTCCTACCAAACCAGCCTCCAAGGTTTCTTGGCAGCACTTAGTCCCCAGAAGGCTGGTGAATATTATTGTCTGTTGGCAGTATTCTTTCCTTCCGTGGCTCTTCAGGACTGCTGTCGTCTTGTACGGTGCGCTAACCTGACCTTACGTTTTCGTTGCAGAAATGTCTCATCAGTGGCATGTGGCTTATATCCAGAAGATACCCAGTTCCTGCAGTCCACAGGGGTACAGTGTCTGGAATCAGCAGACCTGTTTTAGAGACTCATCAGGTTGGTTAATGGCTGATTTTTTGTTTGTTTCAGGCCAAAAGTGGTTTCCCATTAGAGTAGAGATCTGTTAGAAGTGGATATGTTTCCGAGAGGCATCAGTTCTAAGTTGAAAGTTTCCACTTTTTAAGATATATCTGATGAGCTCAAGGAATTTTGTGGCAGCTGAGTCCAAGTGACAGAGTTCAGGAGTGGTAACTTCATCTGCCAAATTGTTTAAGCTTTAACCAACCTCTGGAGTTAAACTTCCTCTGGAGAAGCATCTTTTTTAGTGCCTGTGTAGATGTACTTCACGGGGCATTAGAAATGCGTTGGACATTTGGCTTTTTTTTTTTGGTTTTGAGGATAAGCTGTTGCTTTTTCAAGGTAGATGAATGTTTTTTACCACATTTAATACGTTAGAAGTGACCCTGTGCTTAGCTTAAGTAAATCTAGCTGCTGGCTTTGATACTTGTAAATTAATGTCTCTCTGGATTCTGCAACACGTAATGATTTTCTTCAGTCTAGATGCTACTCTTCTGGAGGAAGAAAGGGTTTTATATCAGGTTTTGTGGAGAACATCAAACAGGAATTGGCGAAAAACAAGGAGATGAAAGAAAGTATTAAAAAATTCCGAGATGAAGCTAAAAAGCTAGAAGAATCTGATGCGCTTCGAGAAGCAAGGAGGAAATATGTAAGTCTTCCTCATGAATTCCTTGAATGTTTTCATTGCCCAGCCTCTGAGCTGTTACTGTTCTGAATGTGAATTCGGGTCTTTCTGCAAACGAACTGTGACTGTTTTTATGTGATGTTCTGCTTGGCTGTAAATATGACTGGTAAATGGATGCCTTAGAGTGGGGATTTATTTTTTTTTTTTAGTGAAAAATCTTTCCAGCAGACCCTTGACTGGATTTCCTGAATAACGAGCAGATAAAATAACAAGATATTAAACTTAATGTTGGCAGTATTTAAATACTTCTGCATTCTTTGAAGAATTATGAACAGCAGTACTTGCACAAGTGAAATGCTGGCACTGGCATGACTTGGTGTTCCTCAAGTAGCGCGGTCCCTACTTCTTTTTTCCCTCAGTTACAGTGTTGATGGTCTGTGCTACGTGCTAAACTGGTTTTGAGGGTTTTCTGTCCTCATAGTTACATGCAGCATGGTTTTTTTTTTTTCCACAGAAAACCATTGAATCTGAAACAGTGAAGACCTCAGAAGTGATTAGAAAGAAACTTGAAGAAATAACTGGTACAGTTAAAGAGGTAAAACACGGCTTTGGAAAAACCTTTTGCTAAGGCAGTTCCACTCTAAGGTTCTGTATTTTGTGTGCATTTGAATTATCACCCTGTTCTGTCTTGGTGAAGGGTGGTTGCTCTTCCAAAGGTGATGGTTGTTTGGAATCTTCAAGGCCAGAGTTGTTAACAGAACTGCAGCCATAGTGTGTGACAGATTTCTATTCAGTTAGTGTGTGGTCAGTGATTCTTCTCAGACTGGGAGGCTGGAGATGGTCCATATGGTTCTGGTACTGTCCAGCAGTAAAAAAAGAGCCTCAAGGTGGTTCTCATGCAACATCATACCCAGTGTATAGATGAGGGTTGGGCAGGAAGTTTCTCTTTCTTGCTGTCTTTGAATCTTTCTTGTTGGAGCTCTCGTTCTTCTGGGATTGGGGTTTTTGGGACTTGTCTGTTTTGGGATCATTAGTGGGGCAGGTTGGGTGTTGTTTGGCGAGTGGTGAGCAGTTACACTGTGCATAGTCTCTGCTCTGCTCCTTCACTCTCGTTCTGTCTAAACGTGCTTTGGTGTAGCAGCTTAACTGCGTGTGTGGTTATGAGCTGGACGTAACGGTCTGCTAGTGTGGACATAACCATTATCTTTTCAGTGCTGTTGAGGGTTTTGTAAGCATCTTTATTAGCCAAATCCTACTGAAAACCAGGGAAAAGCATTTGGTACCATTACCTCGTTGTTTCCCTTCCTCTGAGCTTGTAGCTTGTGACCCATCCAGCATTGGTTACCTGCTGCCAGCGAGATTTCTGAGGTCCTCAAGGATCTGATGGTGTTGATGCCCAATGAAAGGGTCACCAGCTACTGGCAGAGTCCTTTTAACCTCTTGCATACGAGATCCTGGCTCGGGGAAAACCTGCCGAAGTGATGTATATGAAGATGGATTGAGAAGAGCATTTGCTAATTCTGCAGGAGGAGCTGCGTAGCAGAGAGCTGTCTCAACCCCTTCTGTACCTTCTCTTAGGAAGCAACAAGTACCTGATTGCTTCAAGGGAAAGGGCTGGGGTGTTTTAACTGTGACATCATTGGTCCTTCTCTTTGATGTCAAGAAAAATACGTTTTTTTAAAATCTATGAGTAGCAGCTATTACAGATGCATATGGTCCCACGAGTAGCCAGAATTATTGTTGTGCCCAGAGGTGTTGGCTAATGCTGCAGTGCCAAGCCACGGTGTCCTGCCAAGTCTCCCCAGTCACATGTAGCTGTGTGTTCATCGTAGGTTTGGTTAGTCTCATCATGTGTGCATTGGGAGACCTGCAGCATTCACAAAGAGGACTTAATTTGATTAAATTTTCACTTTAAATGACCTCTTCTTTCCTATTCTCTTTTGTTACAGAGTTTGGATGAAGTAAGTAAGAGCGATATTGGCCGAAAAATAAAGGAAGGTGTGGAAGAAGCAGCAAAAACAGCAAAGCAGTCTGCGGAATCGGTGACAAAAGGAGGGGAGAAATTAGGGAAGACAGCAGCCTTCAAAGCTATTTCTCAGGTACGGGAGTCCTTAGGGCCCAGCGCTGTGGACACAGCTCATTAACATGGAGGTTACGTGCAGGTTTGTGCTGAGTGTGAAATTAAATGCAAAACTCTGATAGCAAGACCTTGTGAGTCATTGGAATAAGCTGGTAAATTTGAGAGAAGTGTTTTGCAGGTGTAGCATCCACTCAGCAACCCTAGAAAAGTGTTAAGTCTCGAGCAGCTGAGCTTCTGCTAAAATGTGTTGCAGGAAAAGTCGGTTGCTGTGCTCGTGGAGTAGGATAGCAAACATCTTCTGTAGACAGGTACTGGTGGTGCTCTTGGGAACTGCTGATTGACAAGCTGACTTGCTTAAAGCTCTCCTTTTCTAGAAAATACATAAGGGCTCATGTGTTTTGATGTCAGCCTAAGAAAGTGTTGCCCTTGACTGGTTTCTCGTGCCTCCTCTGAAGCCTTCCTGTAGGAGGAGACACCAGACCAGCTGCAGTATCAGTCGCACCAGTCAGTTCCTCTCTTTCTGTGGTTTTAATAAGACATCACCTGCTAAAAGTCACTTCTACTGTAGCTGCAGATCACGTTATACACCATTTTTTTGATTTTTCTGTATTGAAACCTGTTATCTTACTCCAGCAGCCTCCTAATCTAAGAACTGTTTGTTCTTTCTATGAAAGCAGGCTGCTAGACCAGACCTTATAAGCAGGCAGTGATTTTATAGCACCTTAAAGTAAATTTTTGGAGGCTTAAAGATTTGTTTTCCCTGTAGATGAATCAACCTTTTGATCCGTTGTCAGATTCAAGTTAACTGATTCACAGAGCTTTTGTAGGCTGCGAGCAGTTCTTGTAGCTTTGTTGCACTTTCTGGTATGTTCGTAGAATTTAAAATATTCAGTCTACTGCTTCAGAAGACCAAATATGTTATCTTAGAAATTGTAGTAGCAGTCTCATTTTGAGATCCTCATGGCTTCAGCATTTAGGAGATGTTCTATTTGTATAATCTAGAGCTAGATGATGTCCACGGGGGCTTGTGTCTTGTTCTGTTCTCTGCCAGGTCCCTCAGCTGGTCTTTTATAGGCAGTAGGAACAGACTGAGCTTTGGAGCTTTTTATTTCCTTATCCTTGATGTTTAAAGTCACTTAAATTCCAATTTCTGCTTCATATCAGCTGTCTGGCATCTATTCCGTCTAGACCCTGAGCACTGCTGTGACTTTCTTTAGGAAGGAGTCACACTGACTTTGGGTAGGGGAGGATGGCTCACGCTGGCAATGCTGTGTTGGACCCTGTGTGTGTTCTCCAGAAAATTCCTGCATAAAATAAAGTTGAGAAATAACAGCCCCCATAAAGCTGCATGAGGCTTCGGGCTAGATAACCTACATGTCCTCAATAAAAACGCAGATTGGGAAAAAGCTGTATATGGGGTATATATAAAATCCCTTTCTGCCTGCGCGTGTCTGGCTGTGATGGGAGAGTGGACTTGTCGTGCAACTGATCTTTTGTAGGTGCAGTCATTAGAGAAAATACTGCTCAGAAGTTCAGTAGTAAAAGTAGAGCAGCCAAGATGAAGGGGAAACACTAAAAATACCTTTTAGTCCCAATCTCAGTTGGAAGCGTGTGGCAAATTCCCAGCAACGGTTGTGGTGGGATGCAGCTTGAGTCTGAACTAAGGAAGTGGCTGCTCACTGACAGATCAGTCCACGTTTATCAAGTCCTTTTTCCTGATGTAGCCTCACCCAAGAGGGAGATTATCTCCCACCTCTCCTTTAGTATAAGCTGCACTACTGGGTTTTTTTTCACATCTCTTCTCTGGCAAAACCCAGTTTGCTTCAAAGCTGTTTTCTCAGCTAGAAGATGTGTGGAATTCTATAAAAAGTGAGGCTCCTTTTTGTTTTGAGGAAAGCAGTACTTCTCTTTGTGCAAGCTTGGGCCTAGAACCTCGACTTTATTGACCTTTCAGGTGGCTTTGCAGTTACTTTTTGGTGTCCTGAAGTCTCTTTTCCCCTGCTTTTAGATACGAGGAATCATTCTTCCTTCTGCCTGAGGCTTGTCATTCTGTCAGCAGCTGCTGGGGGCTGATATGCCAGCCTTCCTCTGACTCGATTTGTTCCAATTTCAACTCTGTAGAAGTTACCCCTTATCAGCCATCAGGTTTGACTGTGTCCATAGCTTCTACTATATTTGCTTTTTTTCTTCAGGTTAATTCAACACAACCATCCATTTGCTGTCCTAGACTGTTAAGTTCTTAAGCAGAAGGCCGTGGTACTGGTGTGATTGTCGATAGACACCAGCAAAGAAGCATTTGCTTATTTTTTTCTTCTTTAATTTTTATTTTTTTTTCCTTCAACAGAAGTGATTTTCAGTTTTTCTGAGAAACAGCGGGGGGAAATGGTAAATGAATCTAACAGGGATATTTTCCTTTCAGGGAGTAGAAACCGTTAAGAAGGAAATAGATGAAAGTGTTTTAGGGCAGACTGGTCCTTACAAACGTCCGGAGCGGCTACGAAAAAGAACGGAATTCTCAGGCGAGAGGATTAAAGAGGAGCGAGTATTTGAAGCTAATGAGTACGTATTGGGTGTAATTTTGAGTGAATGTTTCTGTGTGCAATTTGATAAAGTCTTTAAAACTTAACTACAGGTCAGGGATGGTTAAAATCCAAATGCTGAAGCGAGGCTGTGGGGTGAGGCATGACCTAGCAGAGCAGGTGGGTCTGAGAGCAAATTCTCAGCATAAGTTGATGATCCTGAATTTTCTGATAGTGAAACTGGGCAATTAAAATTATACAGTGGGTATACAACGTTCTGACGTGAGATTTTTGCAGCCCTGAGGAGAAGGACTTGGGGTGTTGGTTGATGAGAAGCTCAGCATGAGCCGGCATCGTGCGCTGGCAGCCCAGAAAGCCAACCGTGTCCTGGGCTGCATCCAGAGCAGCGTGGGCAGCAGGGCGAGGGAGGGGATTCTGCCCCTCTGCTCTGCTCTCGTGAGACCCCCCTGCAGTGCTGCCTTCAGCTCTGGGGTCCCCGACACCAGAAGGACACGGAGCTGCTGGAGCGGGTCCAGAGGAGGCCATGGAGATGATCCGAGGGCTGGAGCACCTCTGCTCTGGAGACAGGCTGAGAGAGTTGGGGCTGTTCAGCCTGGAGAAGAGAAGGCTCCGGGGAGACCTTCCAGCACCTAAAGGGGCTACAGGGAAAATGAAGAGGGGCTTTGGACAAGGGTGTGTAGTGATAGGACGAGGGGCAATGGCTTTAAACTGGAAGAGGGGAGATTTCAATTAGATCTAAGGAAGAAATTCTTCCCTCTGAGGGTGGTGAGGCACTGGACCAGGTTTCCCAGAGAAGTTGTAGATGCCCCATCCCTGGCAGTGTTCAAGGCCAGGTTGGATGGGGCTTTGAGCAACCTGGTGTAGTGGAAGGTGTCCCTGGCCATGGCAGGGGGGTTGGGACTAGACGGGCTTTGAGGTCCCTTCCAACCCAAACCATTCTATGATTCTGTGATTTTTGACTTGGGCATGTGTTACATTTTCTCAGTTCTAACATCTTGCTATTGAATTACGTTTGGCAGGACCTTTGCTTTCTCTGCTGCCTTGCTCCACGTAGTTGTGTATCATTTCTGTGGTGTGTCAGCCTCAGTGGCACAGCGTGCCGCAGTGATACTTGTCAGGGTGTCCTTTTTATTCTCACTCGGAAAGTTATTCGTTCACAGCACCCATCCCATGTCTTCTGTGCTTTCTAGGGAGGCCATGGGTGTGGTGCTGCACAAAGACTCAAAATGGTATCAGCAGTGGAAAGATTTCAAGGACAACAATGTGGTCTTCAATAGTAAGTGTTCCAAAGACAATGGAGTAGCACATTATTTCCCCTGTTCTGTTTCTTGCTGTGTTGGATCTGATGCCATCTGTGCAACTAGTCTCAACATCATGCAAATCATAGCCATTTTTCTGTTGTTGTAGCTGTTGCTGTGAGGTGGTGTGAATGGGAGGTGGGTGTAGCTGACAACACTGCAGCTTTTCCAAGCTGCTCCATCTGTGTCCGGACCCTTCCCTCAGTCAGGCATTGTTTTTGATCAGTCCCTGCTCCCTGTGGGTACCAAAACCTGCTTTTGCCGTTGCTTAAAGAGAACAGAATTCTGTTCTTTTTTTCTATTTTTCTTTTTTTTTTTTGTTTCTAGTTAGATGCACTCTGGCACTGGGGAGAGGCCAGGGAATGCACAGCGTGCATGTCACCAGGGAGAGGGCAGGCAGATCTCTTCTTCCTGACCTTGAGCTTATAACGAGGAAAAATCTTGTATTCAATGAGCTGGTTTCTGTTGTCATCTGCTTAGAACTCTGGAATGTGTAAGACTTTACCTCCTTTCTGTTCTTATTGCCAAACCTAAAAATACTGAATATCTGTACTGCAGTGGGCAATAACTTTTGATAGATATCTAGACAATTAATGTTTCTGAAAGGCATAAAGAAGCCTGAGACCAGAGTCCTTCAGCAAATCAAAATAATCGCTGCCAGCGCACTGCAGGGTAAACGACTTGTTAAGGAAAAAAAGATGGTGTGAAAGCACAGCATAGAATTAACTTTGGATTGTGGTTCTTCCCAACTTCTTTTGAAGCAGAGCTCCTTGGGAGGCATCCCAGAATGGTGTTTTGCATCCCGTTTGTTAGCCTTTCCAAGGAGAGATGCTCATAGCTCCTAAAACTCCCCACGTGTTGCCTCCCTGCCCCTGAGCCATCTGCACGAGCGCCGTGCGTTCTCCAGATTTCACGCGTGTTTCCAAGACTCTGGGTTTGCCACTTGGGCAACGCTGCAGATGTGGCTGTGCCAGCCTTCACGGTGTGTGCTCTCCCTCGTGTGCCACCTGTACCAGGAACGCTCTGTGTTTTTTGGAAGGGATGTAAGCTTCAGGGCAGGATTCCAATTGATAATTGACGTGGTGGGAAGAAGCTTCCCTGCAGGGCCCATTGTCCTGCCTCTACCTGCTGCAGTTCTCGTCCACCTCGTGATGTCCAGAGACAGATAATGGGTTTGTTGAGCCCTTAGTTTGTTGCAACAATGCCACCTTGCTTCAATGGCTTTTTTTTTTTTCCTTTATTGCTTCACCCCCTGCCCTTCTTTCTGCCTTGGAGATTTTTCTTTGCAGTTCTCCTTCCCCATCGATAGCTTCTGTAGTTTTGTGACCTGCTTGGCTTGCTTTCTTGTCAAGGTTGGGAAGTACATAGAGCTGCTTAAAAACTCTATCCTTACCGATGTCTGGCTATTTTATTACAAATTGGCAAGTTCTAAGGTCTGTTCTTGATTTTCCCCTCCCTTAACCCCAGTTAAACTTTCTAGTGTTGGTTTCATGTCGCTATATCCTGCTACCCCTGGTAGCAGACTGAATCAAGACGTGCAAGCAGACTGTTACTGGTGTAAGCAAGCCTGGTGTGTTTTCTGTCTGAAAACCTGCATAGAAGGTCCAGAGTTTCTGGCAGCTGAAGTTAGAGAAACCGTCATTCCCCTAATGACAGTTATTGATAATTAAGAACATTGCAGTAAAACGAGGAGAAAAGTGGCTGTTGAAATCGAAACTTGTTAATCAACAAAGAGATTTAGAAGAGAACTCATGGGTTTAATCTGCATGTTGTTTCCTAATTCAGGAGTGTAGCGGAAGGACCCTGCTGCTCATGTCTCCTCTCCTTTCAGGGTTCTTTGAAATGAAGATGAAGTACGATGAAAGTGATAACGCATTCATTCGAGCTTCCAGAGCTGTCACAGACAAAGTCACTGACTTAATAGGTAATGTTTCTATAAAATTAGGTAAAATTGCTGTAAAAGTGCACCTCCAGCCTTTTAGCTCTGTTCCTAGTGACTGTTAGTGCTGTTGCTCTCCGTGTGTTACTAACCTTTGGGAGAGATGCTGGAGCTGTGTGATGTTTCGCGTGGATCATTATCCAGTATGATGCAGCGTGGCAGCCTGCTACTGGATCCCAAGTGCAGTGCGATGACAAGTGCTTGTTGGGATAAATCTCAAGGTTAACGTAAAGTCTGCAGTTGTTCCCAGGTGACTCTTCCTTCCCTCTGTCGTATAACCAAAGGTCTTGCTCTTGTTTTCTGGTGAGAGTTGTCATACCACCAGTCTCACTGAATTGTTTCATTAGGTGGATTGTTCTCGAAGACAGAAATGTCCGAGGTTTTGACAGAGATACTCAAAGTGGATCCATCGTTTGACAAAGATCGGTTTTTAAAGCAATGCGAGCGCGATATCATCCCCAATGTCTTGGAGGTAAGGTGGGGGTAGTGTGATGCCTTCATTTTGTTTTTGTCCTTTGCTGTAACGTGGAAGATTTTTCTTTTAGTTTTCTGATGCTGAAATTAAAAGGTGGGACAGTATTTGCTTCAAGCATCCAACTTTGCACAGAACATGAGATAACCTTGAGAAAAGGAAGTTGGATCCCACAAAATAATTTAGTTTAAAACCATATTTCATAATTTAGTAAGGCTAGCAAATTTTTTTCTGGCCTCAAAACCAACTAACCATCATCTTCCATGAGAAATGATATGGGCATCAAAGGGATCAAACCAAAGTAGGTGAATGAACAGGACTGGTCAGGTGATGATAGCAGATATTGATAAGGGAAGGAATTTGATGTGCTACTGGACTCTCAATGATCGGTGACTGCTTGAGAAGAAGACCAGGTCATGACAAATGGTTCAGTGAACATAGTTCTGGCACAAGTCAGGGAAGTACATGGAACTTAAAAGTGTAAAACCACTCAGAGGAGAGCTAATGAAGGATGTGACTTCAAGTATAAATGGATGTAGTTCCTCTCACTGTAACTGTATGTCAGAAAAGACGGAGTGGAAATAGGGGATTTGAAGAACTGCAGTTTATTGTTTTGAGAGATTTGTGTGAGACTGGGAAAACCGAGGCTTGAAGAAACAGATGCTGCGAGAGAGCAAAGTGTTATTTTCTCATCCTACAATGCAGTGCAGTGAGTGATCGTATCTCAAATCGATGCGTACTAATACACAGGTAGGAACATTTATGATACTCCTAGTCACGAGGTAGCGTAATAGGATGAATGGAAAATACTTTGATGCTGACAGATGCAAACATCCAGATTGGTGGATAGTTAGGTTTTGTAACTGCTGTCTTTGTAGAGACTGACTTGTGTATCAGATGAACTGTAGTGTCGACAGTGAAATAAGACAGACCTGTCACAGTGAATCTGCCTTTTCCTAACAGTGCCATGTCACTGAAGCAAGCTGCAAAAAATGGGCTCTTGGAGAAGGAATTTTTCACAGGAGAGGTTTTATTTCAAACTGTAGGCAGCCAGCTTACAGATGCCATCAAGTACGAAGATTTATAGGCGTTATCTTGAAAAACACTCTGCCATGTACAACTATCTTTATTTTGAAATCTGCTGAACTCCCAGCATCTGTCTTGTTATGAATTCCAGGTGTTTATTACACAGTGTTTTAAAGATAAACCTTCTCATGAGTTGCAGCGTGATCCTTCTCTTCGTTCTGTCCCCTGAATTTTTCAGTCTTGAAAACTGTGGATCTACTTCTGGTTTGTTCTCCTGCTTCTGTTAGATCCCACCTCCCAGGATTTCTGGTTAGCGTGAGTTCTGCTGACTTTTTGGACAGGAAGATTTAAGATAGCTTTTATCTTAATTATCAGAAGGTTTATGTACATCTGTCTCAGCACGTTTGTGCTTATTGCTCTTTCTCTTCGAAACCTGTCCTTCTTCAGGGCTTCACAAGATGTAGGATTTAAAGTAGTTTACTGCTGGAGGTGCTGATAATTTCAACTCTCTGATATAGGAGGTGTTTTAAAATCTCATATTTTGTTTGATTTTTCTCTTTTAGGCTATGATGTCTGGAGAGCTTGATATCCTCAAAGATTGGTGCTATGAAGCAGTAAGTAGAGCTACTAAAAATGTCTGAAAAGGTTATGATTGTCCCTTGTAAGGAGGTGTGTTGGGCTTTCTTCGCTCGCAAGCTGTCCAGCTGTTGTATCCATGATACTGCTTCCCTGCTTTGCCCAGCTGCTTCCCCACGGAACATGTTCATACGACAAAACACCAGTGCCAGTCAAGCGTACATGCTGGACTTCTGCAATGGTCTGGTTTAAGAAGAGACCTGTTTAGAGACAGGTAGGGAGTCAAGAGCTGAACTCAAACTAGTCTAACTAGCTCCAGTTCCACACTGCCCTGCTTGATTTGGATGGGCTTCAGTAGAGCCTATATCCCAGGTATGGGCTGAGAACGTGCAGAGACATTCAAACTGTCCCAAAAAGGTGATGATTTTCTGCTTGCAGAGTCAAGCTGTCCCTAGAGCTACCACACAAACACAACTCCACTGTAGTATCCCAGCAAATAATCCTGGCAGACTGGAGTTTTTAAAAAATGACAGCATAGATGATCTGCAGCCTGGATAATCTCACTGCAGAAAACTGAATTTATTGTGAAGATGGTGGTTTTGTTTTTGTACTGGGATAGATTTTTAGCATTGGATCTGTTTCTTGAAGCAGTGAATATGAACAAATTATGATTCAGTGATTGTATTATTGTCCACTTAACTTCGTGAAAGCTGATCATTTCCTGACAACATAGGTGGACATTTGTTCTGGTCTTTGCTCTGCTCCAAAATAATTGTGGTGTAGGCAATGCAGAGCCATAGTTCTTCTGTTTCTAAATAATTTAATTGCTTGAAGTGAATGTTCTCCTTACTGATCACCACCACCAGAGGGCTGGAAATGCGCACCCTGGAAGAATATTTAATTTTTTGTGATTAACATCTTTGTAACAATATTGCGGTATGTAAGAGTAAGATATTGAAAGCAGTCTGAAAGTAAAGAAAGCTCTTTATTGGTTCCTGCAGCCTTTGAAATGACACCATGGAATTCCTCTCAAATCTCTAGAGGGAAGTAGCAGATTCACTGCAGTTTAGAAGACAAAAATCAAATCCTTCTAAGATAGTTGTAGTTATAAATTAAGCTCGTAAGTCAAGAATCATCCGTAAAATAAGCCAAGGGAGGAAATGAGAGTCCTCTTAATGAAAATCCAGGAGATAAAGGCACTTGATCAGAATCATACCACAAGCGTTAAGTTTGATACTGGTCACAGAGGTGTTGGAATACAAACCAGTAAGGCAAAAACTTTTGTTGAAGTGGCAATTTTACCAGCCAAGCTGTGGGTTGCTGCCAGCCCGCTGACTGCGGTGTCGTTTGTGGCTCGTAGAGCTGTCTGCCTACTGTCCTCAGAATCCCTGATCTGTAACTCCAGCTTCACTCCAGTGACTTTGCCAGTAACTTCTGTAGGATATTTGCATTTAAATGCTTGTGATGAAGGTTAGAAGATCCATGGTGGGCAGGTAGGTGGGGACTGCCTCCTGTTTGTTTATACCTGCCAAGAATATGATGATAGTGCTGGAAGCAAGTAGAAATTTGCTATCCCCAACAACAGTTCTCGATGCATAAATAATGGAGCATATGTGCATGTGCCTAAAAGGAGCCAGAAAGTGCTGGTCTGCCTCCAGGGTCTGGCTGGGTATTAGGAAAATAGCTTGGTTCCCAGACTGTTTCTCCTGTCCGCTGTCGAATCAGAGTCATAAGGGCTTTGGCTATAGGTGTCCATACTGTGTTGTGAACGATGGATCTTCTGTTCTCGCCAGGGGAGGTGGGAATTTTAGTGAGACTTAGGTTACGTGGAGCCCAGAGCATTTGATGTAGCTGGTACCTTGCAAGACACGTGTTCAACATATTTGCAAAAGACTGACTTTTGTTCTGATCTTTTTTGGTGGTTCTCTCTGAGCAGAAAATCCCTTTTTCTTTGTGACGGAACTAATTCAAACGTGTAACACAAGTTTGTTGCTTCGTTTAGACTTACAGCCAGCTTGCTCATCCGATCCAGCAAGCCAAAGCCATGGGTCTCCAGTTCCACTCCAGGATTCTTGACATTGACAACATTGATGTGAGTGTCCTTTTCTGTATTTCACCTTGGGGGATGAATTAGAAACTCATGACCTGAGGACGGGTTTTGTTCTTTGCTCCAACTGCTGGGGTTTTTTTGCCTCGTGCTACCCTGGTATTTGCCATTTCTGCTGACAGAGGAGCACATCACCACTGCTGGAGGGAAGAGCCCATGGGACAGGTTCGCTGCTGTGCGATCAAGCCTAAGTTACGGCGTCGTGGTTTGTCTCCTCTCTGCCAGGGCACCTTGGTCTTAATCACCAGCGTATAGGCTGAGAAAGGCTAATAATAAAGGCAAACAGCACTGACCCAGCGCTTTCATGATGGGCTTTGTTGGTGCTTGATCTGGATGATAATGCTCAGAACTTCTGTGACTCGAGGCTGGGCTGTGCTGGAGAGGATATTAGGGAAACTTGACTGCTGTTGTGATGGCTCTTGATGAGTGGGGAGGTGATGGCTGTGAGTGGAACTGTTGCCTCCTTAGGAGCCGTGGTGGTAGCTGGGAGCTCAGGCCAGATATCTGCGTGGTCGTAATGCTCTCAGTGTTCCCTTTATCGAGGAGCCGGAGATATTCCTGCAATACTTAGCAGTAAATCTACACTAGTACTTCCATTTAATTAAGTCCTTGGCGTCATCAGTCACCAGCCGCCAAGTTTTCTTTCAGAACTTTCTTTCCTGCAATGGCAAAGGTATCTCAAAGAAATTGTCACCTTTTGTCAGACCTTTCATATCCCATAACCAGAGGGATGTGCGAGGGGAGGAGGGGGACAGGGCAGCTGTTCACCAAGGCGTTAGAACACGCGTGGAAATAGTCTGAAGTCAGATCAGCTGTTTGCTTTTGTCATCAAAGGTGCTGACTCAAAGGCAGCAGCATTCCAGACACGTTTTCTGTTGGAACCAAGTGTTATGGCATACTTGTCCAATGTTCTGCAGCTGGGCAGTGTTAGCCTCAATAAAATTATAAGCTGGATCCATTCAGACAGTTACCGTAAAGCCAACTGCAGGGTCGCTCCTGTAGGAACAGACAACATGCAGCTATTTCATAGGGGTCTAAACCCAGCGGGGATCTGGTCCAAGGTAAGGAAGTGGGGGATTGGAAGCTTTCAGGTGGAGATGAAAATGGAGCATGGTGATGAAAGGATGCTGTTCCAGATGTTACTGGGTATATTGGCTGGCCAGATGTTTCTTACTTACCACACCTCTGCAAGACAAGAAGTCAGGAATAATTTGGCAGCCATCATGGAGAACCCAGAGGACAAAATCTGGTGCTGTTGGAGGTTTGCCGAAAGGAGAGCTACTGATGGTGATTTTTCTCTACCTGCAGCTCTGTGCAGGAGTCTCTTTTTGTGCCCACATCATTAAAAACCTGGAGTTGGGTGCAGGAGAGCTCCAGATGCATCTGAGCAAACGCCCATAGTGTGAGAGTTTGATGAAAGGACGGTGGGAGCTGACTTGATTAATGAGGGAGGGATTAATTCACAGGGAGCAAGAAGATCATCTGCAGGGCATCTCCTAACCCAAAAAGCTAATGCCTGGTCCTCTTTCTAGGACTGTTTTGCCTTTTGGCCTTGATAGGCTTCTGGTTTTCTCTCATCTGTCTGGGTTCAGAGGAAGCTGTTCCTGCCTCTTTGGTTACTCTGGATGTTAACTGCAGGCATGTGCCAAAGGAACAGGAAAACTTCTGTGGCATCTGCAATTCTCTTGATTATCTTCAGCGATAAATAGCGTGTTCTAAGAAAATTAAAGCTATGGAAGTAATAAACACGATTGCTTTTTTTCTGAGCATCTTATTTAAATTAAAAGCTTTTCTGTACTGTTGATGTCGAGGAGATTCAATTTCGTTGTATGGTAAATAACTTTTTTCCTCTGTAGGTGCTAATTAGTACAGAGCTGTGCATGGATTCTGAGGGATGCGTGGATCTGACTTGTTTTAGATATGTGTATTTTCACGTGAAGTTTCTCAAAAATATTACATCATCTTAGCTGGAAAACGATAGATACAGCACGTAAATGAGTGTTTCTTGTTATGCCGTCCGTATGGCGAGAAAAGGGGATAAGAGGGTGTTGCGTGTTTTAAATTTTTAAATGTGTTTCCCTAGAGGAGATTTATGGGAGCACCTTGAGTGATCTCATCCAGAAAAACAGTTCAGTGAGTTTGGAAAAAAAAAAACAACAAACATTTAGAAGATTTAAGGCAGTTCACGTGCTGCAAGGTTGGCAGTGTTAAAATTAAAATCAGATCTTTCAAACATAAGCATCTGAGCTCATGTTCCAGGTACTTGCTTAAGTGCTCTCTGCTTCACTAGACATCTGCTGCCTTTAAATTTAGTGGAATTTTTGATCCTTGATATTTCTTAGGACTATTTATTTAGCTGCCTAAATGTAGTTTTAAGTATGTGGCTTGTGAAATGGGGTTTCTGAACTTGATGTGATATAAATACTGTCTTGATTATCAAGGTTTTTTTGGGATCATAGCACTAAAAAATAGAGCAATAGCAGTAGGGAAGTCTTGTTGCCCGTAAGGGATACAGCCTCGTCAGTGATACGGTCCTCCTCCTCCTCCTCCTTCAAACCTACCTGCAGATTTTTGTTGTCCAATTATCCATGCCAAGTGGTGTCATATAAAATGTCTGTCATGGAAAATGGTCTGACAAAGAGCTGTGAGATCTGGTTTTCGATGCTTGGGTGGAAGGCATTACGCAGGCATGAGTCAGGCTGGTTCCAGAAATACAGCCTGGACTGGGCTGGTGTGAGTTACTGCAGAGCAAGGGAAATAATTCCCTTGGATTAAGCAAAGGAGCATTGCTGAGTTTTCCTCAGGGGAGAGTAAAATAGGAATATTTCTATATATATATACACACCTTTGTGAATTATGGCACGGTTTTGTAGCTGTCTCTTGTGATCCATTCTTCATGATGTGATAAAATGCAATGTTTCTGAAACAATCTCTCGTATGCAAAAGAGTATCATCGTGCTGCCTTAAGCTTGAGGTACAACCTTTTTGGATAACACAGCCAGTAACTGGAATTTCTGAAGAGCAGGATACCCTGTCGCATACTGCGTTCCCACAAAAGAGGCAGGAACAGGGTTGTATTTTTTGAGTGCTTTGGGAAACAAAACTGAATTCGTCATTCCTCTTTGCATTTCGGTTAATAAGTTCTTTGAATATTTGATGGAGTAACCTTAGAATAGAGGAAAAAATCCTCAAACAAAAGGTTCTCACCATGAAGTCTTTCTGTTACTTATTTTTATCTAGTTCAGTTGAAGATTCATTTAAAAGCAAGAGAAAAAACTTCAGTTGTACTTTCTTCAGAAAATGTCTTTTTTTTTAAGAGCAGGGTTTCTTTTGGTTTTAGTTTCTAATTTAGAAATAATGGAACAGAGCTCGTTCATATTTCCCAGATTTTTAGACTTGGAAAAACCATGAAAACTCTCAGAACAATTTTGGGAAAGCTTTTAAGTACAGAGAAGACTTCTGGGAAAATGCTGTGCAATAATGTCTGCAGTGTCTGTATTAAGAGAGCAGGTATAACCTGATTAAAATAACTGGATTAGGCTTGGGAGTAACTGGGATCGTTAGCCGTGTCAGGCCGTAGCAGTCGTGTTGAATACTTGATGCTTTTACAATAATCTGCAGAAATTGTCTGTTTCCTAATGGAATTTCCTTCCATTGCAGCTGGCTATGGGGAAGATGATGGAGCAGGGACCAGTGTTAATCATCACTTTCCAGGCTCAGGTCGTGATGGTGATTAAGAACCAGAAAGGGGAAGTGGTGGAAGGTGATCCGGTAAGTGATGCTCCAGGGCTGCTCACGTGTCCCCTGGCTCCCCTGCCAGCTCCCTGTTTTTAGGGATTCATCAGGATGCATCTAGAGCAGGGGGTGTCCGTACGTGCTGCGCTGACAAGGATGAATAATGTTGCATCTTGGGGGTAAGGTCCTGCTTCAGCTCAGTGTGGGCTATTTAGTCCTGTGAGACTCTTCAAGTGTTGCAACCTGTCAATTGAGAATTATGGGATACGAGGAGAATCTGAAAATATCTAGAAGGGACAGAGAAAGGGGTATTTGAAATTCACAGTGAGGAGAGGAGCTGGAGCTAGGACGACCAGCAGTGCTTTCTCTTCCAGTTGCTGTGTGCCTGGCCAGCACACTCCCTGTCCACGGTTATCTCCTGCGAGTTCTGCTCCTTTGGCACCCTCTGGGACAGAATGGAACTGTCCTGCCGTAGATGAAAGCTCCATCACGCAGCTTCCATGTGGTCCTGTTCTTTTTTTTTCCTCCCTTTTCCTTCCATTAAGGGCACTGTAAGAACAGAGCATGAAGATGTTTGGCAAACAGGGCAGGGGCTGGAGTTATTTAAGTCATTTGCTGAAAAAATCTCTGTGAACAACTGGAAGCAGACGTTCCTGGTTTTGGCTGCTGCCTCCCTGCACTAGTACAAAATATCTTTCAGCACCACAAGCCTTTATTTACTGAAACTCTCCCACGTCCAGTTGTGTTCAACGCTGTACATGGTGCAGGCTTCTGATGGGAACCTCTGACGCAGGGTGATTTGTGCAGCAAATCTCTGGATCTCCGTGGATTGTGCTTCGCTGTGATTTAGCTTTTAAGGCTGTGAGTCCAGCCTGCCTGCTCTGTCGTGAGTGATGCTAAACCGAGCCTGGCAGATGTAACCACAGAACATTTTTGTTACCAGGGTTAATGGCACAGCAGGCTTGAGGAGCCCTCGTGTTCTCTGGAATACCTTTTTTCTCCAGCGGCTCGCTCTCCAGACAGCCCTGGCTTGCTTTGTGTCTGGGCAGTGTTTAAGTAGCTTAATGATATATAATGGGGGACATTGTGAGATCCCTGGAGCTGGCAGTCTCTAGCAGACTTCCATTAAAATTAATACATGTGTTTAATAAATATTGGCTTTTTGCAACCATTCTCTTCAGTCCAGGCTGTAAGTTTACAAAAAAAGGGACTAATTTTAATGATGGGGCCCATCTGGACTGATTTACAACCTGTCACGTCAACTGCAGGGGAGGAACAGCTGATATAGTGATTTCTTGCATTAAATTACTGCATTCCTAGAAGATAGATATTGATGTGATAATTATTGAACAGGATATCAAAGCCTGTTTGCTGTCTGATTTCTCTGGAGCAGCAATAAATCAAGGAGATGCATTAAAATTCTCCATTGGAAACAAAACTTCAGCTTTAATCAAATGTCAGATGCAGACTGGCTGGTAACTATGATTTGGTGTTAACTGCTGAGCTGCTCCTGTGGAGCAGTGAACAAATGACCTTCTAGGGACAAGAAGCCTCAAACTGTAAACTCTCTCTAAATAAAAATCCTACGGTTGTAGCTGCTGCAGTATTTTACTTAGTTGCAGTTGTTCAAGTTCCTGCTGCTGTGCCACACGCTCACCCCCAGTGAGACGTTGGTCGGACCAGGCGTTGTGGTCCTTAACGTAGGGGATCCCCATGGAGCATCACGAAATCCATCTGGGAAAACGAGGCCTCCGCCAACCCATCGAGCAAGGCTGCGAAGCCAAGGGAATCTTTTTAGAATCAGGTCTTGAAGGACTGAGACAGGATGCTGTTTGTCACAGCAGGCTGTGGGATAAAAGGACAAATTTTTGCCTTGCACGCATGGCCGTGATAGAAACCTGCCTTTGGGAGTCACAGATGTTTGCTGTCCCACTTTCTGGGAATATATGCAGCAGCATGCACTGTACGTTGTGGATTAAGATGTACCCTATTAATAATAGCACCAGCTCGGAAACCCAGAAATCTCTCTGCTTTGGAAACACGTAATTTTTATGTTTCATCACGTCTCGATTCCAGGAAGAAAGCTGTTCTGCTCGTTCAGCACTGCGTGCTGTGAGATGGCCAGCACCTCTAAGCTTGTCTGCTCTTCATCCCTCCAGAAATCCTGTGTTCAAGAATGTAAACTTGTCCAGGTGTAGCAGAGCTGTGGTGCTGAAGTGTGTGGTTCCATTGCCTTACGAAACGGATTTTGAAAATCACCAGTCATAAAAATCATCCAAATTAAGGTTGCACTGGCGATGTTAAATCAGTTGTTACCCACTTCATCTTGAGCTTATGCTTAGTGTTCTGTACTCAGGGAAGATCTGTTCGTGTTGCTGTGGCTCGTACAGGCAAAAGTTTTGTTGTTTTTCTTCTCTTGTTCCCTCTCCTCTTCCTTCTGACATATCCCAAACATCTGCATGACTCCGGTTCTCAATCACTTCGAACACTTGTGAGCAGAGCTGAAGCAAGTTAATCTTCTGAAACACTGAGCGAGAATAAAAGGACTTTATGATGTGTGATATTTCTAAAGCATTAGTTTTCTGATGACTGGTCTGGCACAGAAAGTCTCCCCCCTCACATTTACATACCTAAATTATAACCTATAAAGATTCACACATTCCATCAAAAGCGTAGTGCTTAAGTACACATCTGGGAGCTGAGCCAGTGCTCAGTCTGATCCCACAGCGATACTTCCTTATCTGATGGAACTGCTCTCCGTGGTTAATGGTGAAATGATAAAATCAGAATCACCTTTGATTTGCAGAGTGGATCGGTGACGCTGTGCCAGATGTGGGCTCCTGCAGCCCGGACCCGGGTGGGCCGTGTCCCCTCTCTCCGGGGAGAGGCACAGCCTTTGTCACAGGTGCCTGCGGTGACTCTGCAGGGAGTCGTTTCCGCAAGACCGTGAGCGATGGCCTCAGGATGTGCTGAGATGTGGCTTTCATCCTCATTCACTCTCTGTGAACAAAACTGCCTTTCTCATTACATGCAGGAAGGATGGAAAAGCATATAGGTGGTTTTTTTTTTCCAGTCTGGAACCCCGTACGGTGGAAGCTCTGTCTGTACTGCAAAGCTTTCACTGCAGAGCTGGCGTGTGTCTGTGGCTGAGCTCGGCGGGATCTGCTTTTCGTTGATCAGCGTCAGGTTTTTTTCACTCTCTGTCTCTTCTGAGACCTGGTGGTGATAATTCCTGGTTAATTTGAGCTGCTCAAGCTGAGAGCTGGCGATGCAGCCGTGGGGAGGGGATGCAGCTCACGGGCTGATGCCGGAGAGGCACTTACAGCCGCAGGGAAGAACCTAAACTCGGCTGAGGGTTACAGAGAGCAGCACAGCCTGGAGGCTGATCCAATTTGAAACATTTATATTTAAAAAGAAGGTCAAATATTATCAAACTTGGCAGTGGTGCCAGTTAACGTATGTCAGCCAGAGATACTTGGAAACCTTAATTCTGGTTTTGGAAATCAAAAGTTTCTCTCTTCCTGACAGCGCTAAGTTTCTAACCGGAGATGTTGCTGGAGTGATCCTTATTTGTGAGCTTTGGGCTTAGAACCAGAGAGCCAAATCACAAGAGCAGTCTCTGGAGGAAGCGTGGAGCAGGTCCCCATCCGCTCTGCGCTAGGAGGTCTGTGACCACCACGCACGCTCTAATGACAGGATTTTCCTTCCAGGACAAGGTTCTGCGGATGCTGTACGTGTGGGCGCTCTGCAGAGACCAGGACGAGCTCAACCCCTACGCTGCGTGGAGGTTACTGGACATTTCCTCGTCGAGCACGGAGCAGGTTCTCTGAGAAGAATTGCATCCGAGGGCTCCCGGTACTTCCCCCGAAGCGACGCCGTCTCTGAACTTGCACCAGTCTGCTGTATGATGGACTGTGGGAGAAGGAGGCTGGGCTGGCTCGTTTTGAGCAGGCTGTTTGGTGTGCCCTCGTTACACCAGTCCCTTTAATGAACTGGATGAGTCTGACTTACTGGACGTATCTGCCTTACGCTTTGCTGTGTAGTGTCGCACTGTAAGGATGTACGGGAGATTCCAACGTGAATGGTCTGAGACACTAGCAGCTGCTGTTGGCTCCTTTTTTAATTGTGGCTGCAGGAGGCTGGTTTGGGTCCTGTATGTTTCCCAGTGCTTCCAGTGATGGACAGAGGTGGGTGTCGGACAGTGAGATGTGACAGGCCTAGTTCCCATCTCCTGTCATCCTCTGGTGGCCTCAGAGCATCCCTGAAAAGGTCTTAGAGGTGCTTTTAAGGCCCGTTGGTCTTGGCTGACATACATCTCCTGTACACAGTCGCACCGATAAGCCTTCTGTTGCTGCAGCGTCTCGCACTTTACCGAACCAAATACAACCAGGACTTTGCACGTGACTCTTTGTTGGCGTGGAGTCAGGGTGGAGGCGTTGGCATCATCAGGCAGGTTCTTGAGGCTGGTTGCAGGGGTGGAGTTTGCTGCCAGTGATGATATATTATAATA